AAAAAAAAAAAAAAAAGAAAAGTCATGATGCGTTAGCTGCAATTAAAGATCCCAGCCTACACTGACAATATTTCTTTTTTACTGATCCTTTTCACACACACCCATGCTCAAGACAATTAAATGAATCAGTATTCTCTCATGTACTCCCACCTCCAAGCCCCTACACATGCTGTGACTTTTGTCTGGAATGCCCTTGTCCACCCCATTCCCACCAGTCCTGTCCCCTCCCTACCTCAACAACCTCCACCTCCTGCCAAAATTGTACACAATATTTCTCCGTGTCTAAATATGACCTATTCTTCAAAGGCCAGTTCAGATATTACTTCCGTGATGTCTCATACCTTGCTGACAGTGGCTTCCCTGGGAGAGGAGGGTTTAGAGAGTAAGCGTGGTAGATAATCTGGGCCAGTGAGTGTACCAGGAGTGATACGATAGAGAGAGGTTTGAAAAGAGTGTGATACGAGGATGGCAAAAACAGTTTATCTATTTTATGCAATTTTGCTTATGGCTTAGGTGCAAACTTCCATGGAAAACCATAGACCCTGGAGCCCCCCGACACCTGTGGAGTACATGCTCTAATGCTACACTGTTTTTAAACACACGAAGTCAATAGAGTTACCTGCATGTTTATGTGATGAGTAGGATGTGTGCAGCACAAGTATGAGGTTGCTCAAATGTATTTATGATGGATTAACAAATAATGCTCATAATGTATCTGATTCGAGAAAATTATGTTAGTGTAATAAAGCCATTTGTTAACTGAACTATAACGTTAAAGCATGGATCGTGTGTAATTAACACAACGTGTCAATCATGATCGCTAAGACAAATAATAGCACGCTTAAGTTTTGGCATACTTTTTCAGGAAGACGGTAGCTGCAGATGTATGGCACTTGGTTACAGAAGCCATATACTTGGTGACTCTGATAGTCCAACACGGCAGAGGACAGGGTATGTTCTATCTCATACAGGAACTTAGCAATGAGTTCATCTCTCAGCCTCCCTCTTTCATCAGCAAAGCTTGTAGAAACTGTAAGATGTGAGGAAGAAAGGAGATCATTTGCACCATACAGTGATTTTATTTTTTAATCATTATGAATAAATATGAAAAGCAAAATAATTCAAATGCTCAATTAATGTTGCAGAGGCTACTAGGAGACAAAAAACGATTTAAAACAACACAGATCCACTAGAACTACTCCAGTATTAAGTGACTGATAGTAAAATATCTTTTATAAGGCCTTGGTTAATTTAATCAATTAGGTAGAGACATATTAAAAGATACTCATGATGGTCTAGAGAGTCTTAATTAAGACACAAGAGTACTTTGAGGTTTTCAGCTCTCTCAGACTCTGTAATTATGTATTTACAAAATAGCTACCCAGATATACTTGTTATCTAAAACAAAGAGTGTCTATTTCATCAGGCTTCTTTATCCAAAAAGCTTTCTTTATAATTTCATCAGTGAAAGCTACTACACAGTAAGCTATATGAATTTAACTATGTATATTTAAAGCTACAGAACAAGAGGTATCACAAAATGACATATCGATCTGACAAAAGCACCAGTTGATCCTGATCTTCTTCTCCGGGAAGAAGATACATTCATATGAATGACAAGGACTTGAGGAAAGTCCACACTTCACATCATTTAGCAGGCACATCAGTTTCACTTTGTAAGATGTATAAAAGATGGCCATTTTACCTCTTTACATGTTAAGAGGGAAAAAATGCATTAGAGAAAAGAAAGGAAGAAAGAATGGGGAGGGAGAAAGGGAGGGAGAAAGAAAAGGAAGAAAAGGAAGGAAGGAAGGAAGGAAGGAAGGAAGGAAGGAAGGAAGGGAGGGAAGAAGGAAGGAAGGGAGGAAGGAAGGGAGGAAGGAAGGAAGGGAGGAAGGAAGGAAGGGAGGGATGGAGGAAGGGAGGGAGGGAAGAAGGAAGGAAGGGAGGGAGGAAGGAAGGGAGGGAGGAGGGAAGGGAGGAAGGAAGGAAGGAAGGAAAGAAGGAAGGCAAGCAAACAAGCTAAGCAACTACTCATCTGGGTTGCTTGATTTTTCTTTACCTTGTGGCAGTGTTGTAGGCAGAGTAAATATTTCCAATCTGCTTCTTCCTGTTTCCGGAAGTGGCGAAAGCACCATCACTTCTACTATGTCTTTTTCCAAAAGAGACACTGTGGATATTTGTAAAATGTCTTTGCCCACCTCTGAAAGCAAACAGAAATCATCATAAGTCATCATTCATAAGTTTAAAGAATCTTTTATCATCTCAAGTAAGGTATCACATTATAGGATTGCCTTCAGTAAGCCTTTAGATTTCAATTTATTTATTGCATTTTTAAAGTGGCCTTTATTTTTCTTTAAGTTTATTTATTTTGAAAGAGAGGGAGAGAAAGAGAGTGTGCACAAGCCAGGGAGGGGGGCAGAGAGAGAGAATCCACAGCAAGCTTCGAGTGTACACCTAAAGTGATCTTTAAACGTAAGTGATGGGGGGTGGTGCTTGGGTGGCTCAGTCAGTAAGGGTCCCACTCTTGATTTTGGCTCAGGTCATGATCTCATAGTTTGTGGGATCAAGCCCCATGTTGGGCTCTGTGCTCAGAGCCTGTTGTAGATTTTTCTCTCCCTCTCTCTCTCTGCCCCTCCTCTGCTCATGCTCTCTCTCTCTCTCTCAAAATAAATAAATAAACTTAAAAACTATACAGAAGTGATGGGGACATTTTTGATGAACGATGAGGGATTCTCATGACTGGATATCTGGGTTGATAAATTCAAGCCAGCTCAGTTGGGCTGAGCTTCCTTCCCTGTCAGGGAAGCCTCTGGAGTTTGCCATGTACACCCCACTCAGCAGCACCTGCTTGCTCTGGCCCCTTCATTGTCCACTGTGGCCTGTTTTCCCACTCTTGGTATTGGATAAACTCCAGCATCAGAGTTCTCTGAACCTGTAGTCAAGATATTGTGGGTATGGTGGAGACACCCATGACTTTATGAGTTTGCTTCTCTGGAAATCGGGCCTCTGAAAGGTGGCATGCCTGGGACACATCTTCAGTTCTTTCCAGAGTCACTACTCCCTCTTTCCACAGAACAGGGGCTGTTCTGTATGTGTCCACTTTCTCAGGCCCCCAGGATCAGCCCCTCCCCTCAGGTGGTCAGCTGGTGGTCTTTCGTCTGACAACAAAGAAGACCAAAGACATCTGATACAAAGAGGACCTTAATATTCTTAAAAAAAAAAAAAAAGTTATGTATTTATTTTGAGAGAGAGACAGCATGAGAGCACGAGTAGGGGAGCGGCAGAGAGAAAGGGAGAGAGAGAATCCCAAGTAGGCTCTGCGCTGTCAACCCAGAGCCCAATGTGGGGCCGGATCCACACACTGTGAGATCATGACCTGAGTCAAAATCAAGAGTCGGATGCTTAACCGACCGATCCATCCAGGTGCCCTGACCTCAATGTTCTTATTCAGGAGATATTTTTGTATCAATAAAATGCAATCCTTTACATCTCTGATTTTGAGCCCAGGTCACCAATCTCTTACTAGACCGTGTGCTCTCAGGTCCTTATTTTATTTTCTTGTGTCTTTTATTGGTTTCTTCTATTCAGCTCTCAAGACTACCCAATCTTCAGATTGCGACCTTGCTGCAGCCCTGCTTCCCCACCATAGTTGTCCAATTTTATTTTTCTGTTGCAAACTTCTTAAAACAGAAGTTACTACTTATGGACTTCATTTTCTGACCACCACACCCTCCCTAACCTCTTTGTCCCTCTATTCCAAGGCAGTAGCTCTCCCAGGAGTTACCCGCTGATGGGCCCATGCACAAGGGCTTCATCCCAGCCCTCACTGCACTCAAGTTTCTACCAGGCCACACCCTCATCAGCCTTCCTCTTTCAAGCTCTTTCTGGAGTGGGGACTCCCAGTGCTCTCATTACACTGGCCTGTCCTCAGTTGTCTTCATTGCCTCATCTTCCTCTGTCCATAACTGCAATGGAAGTTGCTTTTCCCGTCCCACACTTTAACCAGATATGTTAAAAAATGGAACATTTAAGCAGGATGTGCATCCACTGCGAGGTGAGCCATAGGTCCTACCACAGTCCATGTCTTCGAATTTACATATTTAGCTTATCCATTTGGCCTCACTAAGCAATTGGTATTTACCTCTACTCTGTCTTCTTTTCTAATTTTTTTTAATGTTTATTTATTTTTGAGACAGAGAGAGACAGAGCATGAACGGGGGAGGGTCAGAGAGAGGGAGACACAGAATCTGAAGCAGGCTCCAGGCTCTAAGCTGTCAGTACAGAGCCTGATATGGGGCTTGAAGTCTATGAACCGTGATATCATGACCTGAGCCGAAGTTGGATGCTCAACCTCTGAGCCACCCAGGCACCCCTACTCTATCTTCTTAAGCCTTCCCATCAGCTTCCGTAATTTCAAGATCAGGATGCTATCATTAAGACTTGAACTACAAATCTCCATTTCCAAACATTAGCTAAATATCCCCAAATAAAGAGCTTATTAGCTTCAAATCTACACAAATCTCGTCAGCTCACGCTATCCCTCAACCTCTCTAATTTCCTTTTTTTCTTGAGTTTTTGCTTCATTTGATGACATCATAAACTTCCACCATCCAGGCTAGAAATTTTGGAGTTGTGCTGATCCTCCCCTCTCACATTTGATGGAACACCAAAGTCCTGACAATTTCCTCACTCAGAGCTGTCTCCTCCTTTCTCTTTCTATGACTGCTGCATGGTGTGTGCATTCTGGATAAGAGCATGAGCCTCAAGACAGACTTCCTGGATTTGGGTCCCGGCTCCACCACTATCCAATCGCATGACTCTGAATGAGTACTTCGCCTCACTGTGCCTCAATTGCCTCATCTGTAAATTGGGATAGTAATAGTCTCTACCCCATAAAAGTTGTCTGTAATGATTAAATCAATTAACACATGCCAAGTTCTTAGAACACGATCATATGGCAAAGAATACCTCGATAAATGTCGGCTATTGTTATGATTACTGTCACCTCTTGCCTGGGCTACTAGACTTGTTCCCTAACTCCTCTTTTTTATTCCATTCTCTTGCCTTTCAGCTCCATCCTTCACACTTGTGGCAGAGTCATCCTCCAAAGTCAAATCATACCGGGCCCATCTTGAAAACCTCAGAGGATGTCCCAGACTCCTTGCAATGATATTCAAGACCCTCATCTTCTTCAGGACTTCATTGCCATGATCATCATCCAGTAAACTCTTCTGTTTACCTATTATACCAGACCGCTGGCCACTCCAAGTGCCTTTACTCCGACTTTTCTCCTGAGCTGGAATACTAATATACCCCATCCCCCACTACTTAAATCCTCAGAGAACTCTCCCCCAACCCTCTGCACCTCCTTATCTGGTCTCCACTCCTTTCCTCACACTTGGCAGAGTTAATTCCTTCTTCCTCTGAGACTACACAGCACTCTGCTTATTCCTCCACCACGAAATTGTCTCCTTGACCTTTTCATGCCCCCACTGACCTAGGTTCAGCATTTTAGACCTAGTAGGCACTCACTAATCTTAAAAAGTTAATGAATAAATTAAAAATGTGTTTGGGTAAAAATATACCAGAAAGGAAAGTATTAGTTCTTACTACTTATCACATAACTGCTACCTCACCTTCCAGGTCTGTGGTTTACCTGGGCATGTGGATGACATTACTGAAAAACCCAGATATCATTTTGTTTAAAGAGGAAATATTAAAGATGCATGTACTAAAACTTTCTTTAGCTCTCTCTATTAAATAGAGATCAAGTATTTTAAAATATATTTCAAGGATAAACCAATGAAACTACTTTTTGTGATAACATTAGAAATATCTAGCATTATATATAATGTATATAATATACATACATATTATATATGTGTACAATATATGTATAATATATATAATGTCTAACATGAGAAATATCTAAATTAATTCATTAATTTAGTTAAGAAAGTTTATTTAGCTCAACTATGTGCCAAGCAGAGGTACCAAAAACCCTTTAAACGTGATGTGGGAATTCTCTTACATAACTTACAGCAGTTATTTAAATGATTCCTTTATAGAAAATACACTAGAGCCCCATTTTCACAACCTTAAATTCTTTGGAATAAAGTGACCAGTATTTTCATTAATTAATTGCCAATTAATTAACATTCCATGTTGTACCTACGAATCCAAGGATCTGAAACAAGCTTGATGGATTGGCATTAATGATAAAGATGCATCCTTCTGATGTTCCAACTAATAGATATATCCCTCGCTGGTCATAACTAGGAAAGAAGAAATCCGAGGCTCAGATTTTGCGTGTTTTACCAGTAAGATGGTAAACAAACTTATTGACTGACAGTGTGGAAATACATTCAAAACCAGTCATTCTTATGGTTTGTGATTTTTAATATTATCCCATCTTGTAAAAAGCCAAGTGATTACAGGTAAATACAATCATTACATTCTAGGTTAATGTTATTTCCAAACTGCAGCTTAAAAGCGCACAGTCGAGAAGATGCAGTGGTGTTTCATCATAAGTAAGTGAAATATGACACCAGAGCTTTCTTGGTATTGCAAGTGGAAATAAACAATTCTCAAACTAGTGATCACTGTGACATCTAGTGCCTGGCAGGAGGAGGAAGAATGTAGTGAAATGTTTCTGTAACTTCTTCAAATTAGAAAAATGGGAAAATAGAAATTATAATAAGAGAAAAGGATCTGAGAAAGAGGAGGCGGCAAAGGTATAAATGGAGTGAGGTTACAGCTCCTTACCCCCTGAGCTGGAGGGAGCTGTGAGCACAACAACGCAGCAGGTGGAAACCTGCCTCCTCCAGGCACTAGCTAGGCAATCCTTTAAAGCTTCTCTTAACTTCTCTGAGCCTAAATCCTCTCATTTGTGGAACAGGAACAAACATAATACCTTTCTGACTGCTGTAGTGAGGTTCACATTCACAAACAATGTATGACAGCACCTCAAACTGTAAAGCAGGGCACCAATGTCACTTCTTATTAATACTATTCTGATAAATTAACAAAAGAAAGAACAATAACACACAAGTCTAAATCCAACGTCTCTATGCTGTCTTCTAAAAAGTATTACTTCAAAAGATTTGAAATCATCTAAATGCCCATCGATACACACTTTTGGAGCACCTGGGTGGCTCCCTTGGTTAAGTGACTCTTGATTTAGGCTCAGGTCATGATGTTACTGTTGTAAGATCGAGCCCCACATCAGGCTCTCCACTGGGCATGGAACCTGCTTAAGATTCTCTCTCTCCCTCTCCCTCTGCCCCTCCCCTGCTTGCGTGCTCTCTCTCTCTCTCTCAAAACAAAACAAAACCCCAAAGAACTCAGTCTTTAAAAATGATAGTATATTGGGTATTTACCCAAAAAATACAAAAACACTAATTCAAAGGGATACACACACCCCTAAATTTATTACAGCATTATCTATAATAGCCAAATTATGGAAGCAACCCAAGTGTCTATCAACTGATGAATGGATAAAGAAGATGTGGTGTATATGTATGTATGTATGTGTGTATATATATATATATATAATGGAATATTACTCAGCCATAAGAAAAGAATGAAATTTTGCCATTTGCAACGACATGGATGGAGCTAGAGAGTATAATGCTAAGTGAAATAAGTCAGAGACAAATACCAAATGATTTCACTTATATGTGGAATTTAAGAAACAAAACAAATGGGTAAAGGAAAAGAGAGAGAGAGAGAGAGAGAGAGAGACAAACCAAGAAGCCAGACTCTTTAACTATGCAGAACTGATGGTTACCAGAGGTGTGAGAGGGGGGCTGGAAATCAGTGAAACAGGTGAAGGGGATTAAGAGGACACTTACCACCATGATGAGCACCATTGAGTAATGTGTAGAACTGCTGAATCACTATATTGCAATAACTGAAATGAATCACTGTATGTTAACAATACTGAATTAAAAAGTTTTAATGATGGTATATTTATATCATGGAATACTACTAATGCATCATAAAAAACAGAATAATAAGGAAGGTCTTTCATATGTGGATAGAAAAACATTGTCCAAAATATACCATTATGGAAATGAGTGCAGGCAGAACATTGTATACAGTTTGCTTACCCATTAAAAGCAAAGGCGCTTTTAAATCAAAACTTTGAAAAGAAA